CAGCCTTCCAGCATTGTTTTCAACTCATATTTGAAGAGTCGACTCCCACGAAAACCCTATGAAAAACGCATTATAAGGTGCATTTTTGTTGTATCTTGAAAGTTACTGTAGCTGGCGGGCTCTGACTCAGCATGTGGTTAGTTAGGGTCTGATACACCTCTAGACGAATTTTGGGGCCGATCGTTTCTAAGGCAGTGAAATGTCGGAGGGGTGCTTTGTCCCGAGACCCTGTATGGTGGGGCGATCAATCATCGGAAACCTTTGTTGTTATTTTTGTGAAACTGCCATAACCGTCAGTACTATTTATGAAAAATAACATCCGGTCCAATTCGAAACAATTCACACTGATCATATATATCTTCATTGAGCGCTTGAGCCGACCCCTCGGTGGACGTCTGAGTTCACTGGAATTTCGGAAATTCGTATTTATTGTCTTAAAGATTGATTCCTACTCGATATTGACCGCGTTCTCCATAGAGGGTGTCCCAACACCCCCTGGCCGGTCGCAGACCTATCCGATTTTTACGATTTAGGTATCTATCGAAATCTCTTGGAAAGGCGAGTCCAGCATGTCTTGCTGACTTTCGAAATGACAGAATTTTTGCTCGATTTTCGGCATTTTTCATACAAAAAGCGGTTTAGGCGTCATCCCGGCTGCCATTTCCCAAAAGACTTTCAAAAAGCGGTCGTCGGCCAGGCAGAGCGTAAACATTCTCAAATTGCGTTTTTGTAAAAAAAACCTCTTGGTCAGAAAAACATCAAAAAACCGCCCGTTTTGCAAAAACATCGGTAAATTATAGAAAATTACCAAATTTTCAGATCGAAAAGAGGTGCTGGACTCGCCTTTCCGAGAGCTTTCGATAGATAGATCCCCTAGGTCGTAAAAATTGGATCGGTCTGCGGCCGGTTAGCGGGGGAGGGGGTTAGGGACCCCTTTACAAAAATTGATATATGCAACGCTACCCCGGATCTTCCCGAAACCGGCTTATAGTGAGGATAACCGTAAAAAGATAAATTTTAAACCTTTGGTTAAACCTACCAATATTCATAGGGGCTTTGAAACTATTAATTTTATTTAAATAAATTAAACTAATTTATTTTTTGGACCTTGGCGTTTTTCTAGGGCCCAAAAAATTGACGGGACCCAGTTTTTTTATCAGCATCCCGATAAATTTTAAGGACCCGTGCGTCGGAAAGAATCGAATTATTAAATAAAAATTGATCGCAGGCTACCGTACATTAATTAAATGAGCGTCTATCAAAAATGTAACAGGTTTAGCACGTTTTTAAAATTCATCGATGGTACCCACGGATCGCTTAGCATCAAGACTACCATGACAGCAATAAGGCCTGCTGTGAAGATAAGGCTGTATGCAGCATCATAGCCGTGCTGGACAAGCCAAGCATGAGCGCCATCCGGAAATCGACGTAGCCAGCCTGCCCTGTAATTTACCACTTTTCTTAAGGAGTTACCGGGGGTAAAGCCGATCGCCCGGGTCCGATTCCAGGCCATTTCACCGAAATTCGTTTGACCGAAAATCGTTCACCAAAACGCCATTTCACCGTCATTTACCGAAAATCTAATGATGTATGCAAATTTCTTTGAAGCTTAATTTTGACTTCTACCGCGCAGAGACAGTTTTTCACTTGGTTCTAAATGAATTTTTGCCTTTTCAGTGGAAGTATTTGAGTATTGGTCTCTATTGGATTAATATGCGTCTTTTAAGATGAGGTTCCATGCCGTAAATTTAATTTACACATCATTAAATTTTCGGAAAAGTGACTGGTCGGTCAATGCTTAGCTGACGTTTTGGTTAGCAAAAAAGAACTGAATTCTCGTGATCGCCAAATAACCAATTTTTCTTTATCTATGAGAGAGAGCAAGAGAGAAGTAGAGAGCGAGCAAAAGAGAAAAAGAGAGTCAGAGAGTCAGAGAGAGTGCAAGAGAGGGAGGGAGGGAGGGAGGGAGGGAGGGAGAGTGAGTGAGAGTGAGAGAGATAGAGAGAAAGAGAGCGAGAAAGAGAGAGAAAGGGAGAGAGAAAGAGAGAGGGAGAGAGAGCGAGAGAGAGCGAGAGATAGATCCTTAAAAATGAAACGTGAGAATAGTTTCTTGAGCGAACCCGATAAGATTCATATTGTTGCTATTTAGTGTCTAATACAGCTCAGGTCCAATGTCGGGACCGATTCAATGGAAGGCGGCAAAATGTCGGATGGTTCGTCTTTTGGGACACCCTATATAAGGGTGACGCAATTACAATTACTGTTCCGATGTGCGGTTATTATTCCGAAACCAGCGCCCAAAACCCGCTTCGCGGGCCTTGGGCGCTGGAATGCGGCCTTTGCATGAGAAATTTGACTTTCCGATAACTTGGGTCCTTCACCCCTCCCTTCATCCGACCACAACCGCGCGTGCAACTTGCAAGAATGAGGAAATTTGTATTTTTTGGAATTATGCAAAGTAGCAGCCCTCCCTGGCGCCGACACACACACACAAAGATACGCGACCAAATTATATAAGGTAGGATTACTGCACCAAACGATTTCAATTTCCTGAACGTCAACCGCGTTGTCTCGTCGGTGGCCAAAAGCAAAAACTTACTCGAGTAGGTAGACAATGATGCTATTCACAAAATATTCCAACTCCTTCCAGCGCAGGTCGTCGTCCATCGCTCCTTCAAGGTATTGGATGCAAAGTTGGTGCTGGTCAGAGAGGTCGGCTCCATCAGTCGCCCATATGGCACCGACGCCGAGGTTTAGGCCAGGATTTTGACCCGGCTCCCCAGGAACCCATCTGCTGGCTCCGCCGGTGTGCCCCGGGCAGTCAATGATAACAATTTCGCGCCATTAATGGAAGAGTTCGGTTGTTTGAGGCTTTGTAGAAATTCTTTCAAATTTGTAAAAGAATGTGTTACAACATTTACTATTATAATAATTATACGGTATACAACCCATATTAGCGATCGTGATCATGCCCTAAGGGAAGTCTGAGATTCTTTTTCAGTCAGGTTATATGGAAAATGGAGAATTTTACAAGACTACCAGAACTATACTTATGAAGCTATTCAGACGGATTTGAAAATCATCCTAAAGACATGGCAAAGCGCTTCCTTGCACAAACGATGTTTAAGGAATTCAGCCATGTCCTTACACTGTATAATATGCAACTCAGAATCTTCATTTTAACCTGTTTGACCATTTGTGCTAAATTTAATAACAGTATTCGGGAATAATTAAAAAGTTACCGCCCTAGAAACAAAAGGGGGGTGATGAATATCTGAAACCGTATGTGCTCCTGGTTACATCGTGGTCGCCAATAAGCATATTACAAATTTTTTAGCATGTTTTTTACAAATATACAAGCATTACTATGAAGCCTCAAATAACCGAACTCTTCTATTAATGGCGCCAATTGTTATCATTGACTACCCCGGGGCCGACGGACCGACTATGGCCAGGATTTCTTATCAGGACTCTGTATGTCTTCCCTGGACATCTGCACATCTGCGCAAACTCATTTTGAAAGTAACTGAGCGACACACTAATGTGTAATTTAGAATGCGGCCTACCACATGGCTCAAATAAAATTTGCAAAAATAATAGTTTGGAGCCCTATTAATCGAAAATAGAGGGTTTCGTTGAGACTTAGCGATTAGAATCCAACATCATATTCCCTGCCCGAGACCCTGCACACTTCTTAATTCATGACGTATTTAATTCATAATCGGTTTGAAAAAAATTACAGTTTATTTGGAAGATTCTAGTCGAAAATTTGTTCTACTAATCTGTGTATCTACATACAGTGCAATCTTGTATCAGAGATAGAGCGCACGTCCGGTTTAGAACATTTGGACCAAAACTTGCGTCTTTATTGCATAACCAGTTTAACAAAATTGAATTCTTTTGCAAGATTCCTGCTAAAATCTCCTGTCTGCAAGGAATTCTGATATTCCTTTAAAGGGGCATTGCTTCACGGCTCCGGGGGTTATACTTATTAGGAAAACTTCTTTACAACAATCCTTCAATACAAACAACAACAACAACAACATTTACAATGAAACAATCTTGTTCTTCGAACGTAGTTTTGCGCGTTTTTTGCAAAGTCCCCATGAAACCCGAAAATGCAGTAAAACCGGCAGTAAGTGGTAAGGTTGAATTTTAGCTAAATAGATTTAAGATATTTTCTTAGGACATAGTTTAAAAACCAACACATATTCATACGTTTTGGTATACGACATGAGATCACATCGACAGATGTAAAAGCTAGAGCACAGAGACAATTTCTAACCCGCCCAGGGGGTTGATAAGAAATCCTGGCCATAGTCAGTGGATTCCCCCGGGGCACACCGGCGGAGCCACCAGATGATTTCCCGGGGAGCCAGGTCAAAATCCTGGCCTAAACCAGTGGATCCATATGGCACCCCCGGCGGCAGATGCAAAAGTTTTGAACAGAAGCGCTTCCCGCCATTTGTTACATCGTGGTACCTACATATTACGCTTTCAAGTTTTTTCAGAAGCTTCGGGTTTCCTGAACTCCCACCTCACTGAAAATGTCGGTAATTTTTTTTACTTTGTATTTGCGACATTGATTTTAAAAAACGGCAAATTTGCAATAATTTTGAAAATCTTGTTTTTATTTAAGCGTACCTTCTACTCATTGAAAAAATTAAGGCACGGCCTCTGCTACTAATTAACGGCTCCTTCCGGTCATTTAGCTTCGAGACATTTAGGCAAATTCGCTCGTATGCAACTCCGAAAATCCGAAATTCTTACAAAATGGCTTTTTAAAACAGCGGGTTGAAATAGAAAGATGGTTTTGGAGATTTTTGTGAACTCGCCATTTCACGGGCTTTCGAATGGTGTAACCATCCCTCCGATCCGATAGTTTTGCATCGAGTTTGAAGGGTTTTTTTTATTGGGACATCCTGTCGGCACGGCCTTCGTCCCCCAGGCGTGGCTGGGGCTTCTTCGAGGGGGCATGATTACCTTGATTTACAGGGACCATGCCTTCATCGATCCTCCGGATTGGTTGCGGGACTGGTGGCGTTGGCTGCTGCAGGCTGAGCCACGTACGATCCTCATTCTGTTCCACATATTCCTATTCTTGCTGGGGAGCTGTGCCCATCTGTGAGTCAAAATCCAATTACATTGCTGTGCGTTTCTGTAGATATTTTTTGTCGCGTTGTTTATGAGTTGGTACTGCGACAGGAAAGTGTGAGCTTAGGCTTATTAGCTTAGGCTTAGGCTCTATCATATTTTCGTTTTTAAGCTAGAACTTTGCAGGATTCTTTCGGTTCTTTTGAAATTTTTCATAAAATTTTTCATTTCATTCACGTTTTTTACTGTGCTGAACACGCTGGACATGTTTTCAAAATCTGAAAATTAATCAAAATCTATGGGCAGCACATAGGATAACGACGGAATGTTCAAATTTTCAAATATTTTTGGTATTTTGAAAACGCCATTCGTTCAAGCATGGGAAAATATGCTAAGAGCCGTTTCTATGGCCCGAAAAACCCTACTTAAAAAATAATTTTACTATAAAAAACTTTGAGTATGAATAAAATATATTTTTTAGTCTGCGCCAACGCGACGAGATGCTCCATAGGGCTAGAATCCGATTCAAAGCCGAATAAGAAATCCTACTGTCATACAGAGCAGAAGATGCCGGTCGCCAACGTGAACAAGTTGATTTTACGCCATTAGATCACCATCGATATCGTATCAGATTGCCAGAGAATAAATGGATAAATTATTTTATTGGAATTTTACATTAAGAACATTATTATACTCAACTTGTTTAAATTTATAAACTGACAATGTCAAGATTGTGAAGCTCGCATGGCAAGCTCTGCGAAAAAAATAGAAAGTCTTATTTGGCACGACCCCCTAAACGACAATTGCAGAAAAGGATCACCTAAATTACAGAATTCGAACTGCCTAAATCATTATTTTGGAAGCCAAAGATTTGCAGCCAGACGGCTTGGAGACGGACTCGGGGCCGCTCGGCTCGGTTTCAGTTTCCGCGTTTCTTGCGTCAAGAAAATATTGCGTTTCGTTGTTCATGAAACATTACGTATTTTTATTGTTTTTTAGTAGATTTTAATTGCTGGAAAGTTATCAATTTTTAAAAATTGTGAAAATTCTAAAAAGTTTACCCTTTTTTTGGTCATTTTTCTTTGACCAGAAAGTTAACAATTATCGAAAAATTTTGATGAATTTTAAGCCTCTGCTGTACCACGTTAAATGCTATCTCAAAGTTATGATAAATGCTATAAAACTGGTTTAGATTTTGGTATAGGGTCGTAGTGAATCGCAGGGAAAAACAGGGCCATGAACCGAAAGCAGAAGAGGTTGATAAATGAGGCAGAAAAAAAATAAATCCACCGATCTTCGTTTACCAAAAATTTTACCATACGGCATTTGAATACCGAGACGGAAACCCTCGAAACCGAAACCTCTGGCTCCAAAGAACGTCATTTCTCGCAGCGGGCCCCCCAATGCGGCTTCTACCGTTGTTCAGTAAGTTTTTATCGGATTCCAGCGGAATTTTAATGCAAATTACTGCATGCAAAACGCGCCCCGTTCCAGGCTCGCCTCAATCGATGCTAAACTCCGTGTGGATGTTGCTGCTCCTGCTGCTGATGCTCAGCGATCGGGCCCACGCCGGGCAACTGCGCGAGTGGAACCACGTCGAGTGCCACGCCGACGAGCACGCCTGCATCCTGCTGCCGGACGATTTCAAGGAGATGAAGGAGAGGTAAAAGCCAGGCTTCGCTCTGCTCTCTCTCTCTCTCTCTCTCTCTCTCTCGTTCTATCGCTCTCTCCTCCATCTTTCTCTCTCTCGCTCTTTCACTCAATCACTCACTCACTCCCTGTTTCTCTCTCTCTTTCTCTCTCACTCTCTCTTGTCTCGGCACCAACGTATCCAATTCTACCGCCGAACGCATATTGTTCAGTCCCGATTTCGACTTCTGGAAGGACGTCGTGCGAGCCAGCGGCCCCGAGTGCCGCCCAAACAACGAGTACATGATCATCACCGAGGACGACTGGGTCAAGGAGTACGCGCAACGGTACCAATTCTGCAAAAAGCAGGACCCAGGTGCGTCTCAGGCTCCGGTCAGCTCTACCCCACACTTTTCAGATGCGTTGACGAAGGAACACTGTCCACCTGGTGAAGTCTACTGCCACGACGGGCAGAGCGTCACGTGCATGCCGCGGAAATACTACAGGAGTAGGGCTTGGGGTTGAACCGATTCGCATCGCTCCCCATTGCAGCCGACCCGACCCGCTACGAGCATGATTTTCCGCTGTGCTTGGATGATGTCTCGGGTGGGTTTTAGGGCCTGGTTCGAGGCTTGGGCTTAGGCTTAAGCCTGGTTAGGTTTAGACTTAGGTAGGTTAGACTTGGGCTTAGGCTTGGGCGTGGGCTTGGGCTTAGGTTAGGCTTAAGCTTAGGTCAGACTTAGGCTTAGGACAAACGCAGGCGTGGCGAAGGCTTAGGCTTCGGTCTTGGCTTAGGTCTTGGCTTAAGTTTAGGCTTAAACTTCAGCATGGGCGTACGCTTACGCTCAGCTTCTTCCCGTTTTAAGGCACATACCTGTCAAGAAAGCGCAGGCATTCGACCACAATTCGATTTTTTTCAGGCACCTGCCATCCGGACAACCAAGTGTACTGCCGCATCGACAACGTTCCAACCTGCCAGAATCGCAGCGAATATCTGCCGACGGACGCGGGCAACGCCTACATTTGTTCTAACAGTGATGGTTTATAATTAGCCAGGAGAGGCTTTTGAGCGGAATCCTTGTCTCGTGGGGGACTAAACCTATCATGTCCAAATCTGCCTCGCAATTTGTTTAATCGGCATTTTCAAGAAGCTGCTCTGATTCTCTATGCCCCTATAACAAAATATAACCTATTTTTACAGCATTGTACATAGTTTTCGATCTAAAAACAACATAAAAACAATATAAATTTTTTGAAAATTTTTTGATTTTAGTAAAAAATGTATGAAAAATGACCAAAAAGGTCAAAATTTATAGAAATATTTTTGCTAACTGTCTGGCAATCAAAAACTGCTAACAACACCGTAAAAATATATTATGTATTAAAACAGGTAGATCTAGGTAGAAAGACAAAAAGTGGTTCCCCCCCCCCGCTAACAGTCCAGAACCCAACCGCGAAATCGCATAGTTTTCCATGAAAAATTCGATGAAAAATAATCCATATCATAGGGTGCCAAGAAAAAATGTTTCCTTGTAAACGGGAGCCCGGACTATCCTAACCGCATTCCGGATGAGCGGATCAGCAGACAACGAAAACGGTCCCGCTTGCAGCATGCCCAGACGGCAGCTTCGTCAAATGTGCGCTGACGTCGACGAGTTCCCCCCACTTGCGAGGCGTCCTTTTTCTACTCCGTGATGGGTGTATGGCCAGAAAGCGGACAGCCCCGTTGTGGCCCTGGTGTGTATCCGATATCGCTTAGGTTTAAGCTGATTCTGGTTCTGATTTGAAAGCATCTCGAAAAGGAAGCAAAAATTGCGGCGTTAAACAATGGGCCGATTCAGCAATGTCTTACGGCTGCGAGGCGGACGGCGTGTGGTGCAGCAACGACCAGCCGGACGAGCCAGGGAACATGGATCCGGTGCGGTTTCCAACTCCCTTTACATAGTTTTTTGGCGTTTTTTTTTGGGGCTGGGAGTCTATTACCTGCTGTCGCTTTTATCTAGCCTTTTACAGTCTTTCTACTCACCCCTATTTTTTAGCAGCGCAAGTTCGAATGTCTGCCCGCCGCCACGACGACCGCCTCGGAAGATAATGGTGGCTGCCGGCCGGCTGAAAATGGTAGATGTTCGGGTATTGAGGTGTTAGCGGGGGTCAGGGTTTAGATAAGCCTCTTTGTTAGATAGCTCAAGGAGGGGCCGGGGGGACCAATAGTTAAAAACAAGGTAGAAACGCATCCGCAAGCCTAAAAAAAAAGTGGGCATGCGCCGAAAAAAGTGGGTTCTCATCAAATTCAAAGTTTGTTAAAAAAATCGAAAGCGCGATTCGTTTCAGACGAAAAACCTGCATCAGATGGGCTTGGTTTTTTGAATCGAGTTTCTTTTTTCGCGTCTTTTAAAATCCTTTTAATCATCTCGAACCGCGGTATTTACCGATATGTTCAGCGACGCTCACCACTGCAAAGTACGCGGGAGCGGAGCCACATGTCCCAAAAAACGGACGTAGCATCCTTCGTTGCCGGACAGAAAATTTGGATTAGGTGGGTGGCACCGGGTATTGGGTACCCGGCGTTTTTCTTGTTTTTGCCATAACTATTCGATTTTACCGCATGCCAAAACATTGAAAATGCCGAAAAACAACTTTCCACCCCTGAGACAATTTTTCAGTTGCCGCCTGCCGTCCACAGCTACAGCCACAAACGCAGACAACGAGATCCGGAAACCGGTGTTTTTCCGTGACGGCGTCAGAACGGATTACCTGGTAGGAACCTGGAATTTTGGATTTAAAAAACAAATTTACCGTATTTCCTCTAACACCCCCACCCCAGGGTGATTGAAAACATATAACCCCAAGAGTTTTATCAGAGGAAATACGCGTTAGAGTGCAGTTTACCCCCAGCCGACCCCCACCTACCGTATCTCGGCTCCCTGTTCATCTACAGGTGTGTAAAGTATACCAAAATGTTTGTCTTGCTCCGGCGAGTATTTTGGTATATTTTACACACCTGTAGATAAACAGATACGGTAGGTGGGGGTCGGCTGGGGGGCGGGGGTAAACTGCACTGAAGCCGAAATACGGTAATACAAAAAATCTGACGAGGCAATCGAAAAAGATGACGACCAAATGCCGAAGTTCAACGTCACCTGATTTTTCGTTGTTTAGCATGCGGACGGGACGCCGATCGTCACGGACCGTCTCGTATTCAACCCGTCCCAGGAGCAGGACCAGCTGCATATCGCGGCTTTGAGAGTGGTTGGTCGATTTTTATTATAAGTCCAGCGACGCCTAGCAACGTAATCGTTAGTGTTTTTGGTTCTTTCGCATTATCGGGGAGAGGAACAAATTTTTTGGCTAAATTCTAGGACCCCCCCCCAGCCGACTTTTCCACTTTTCTACCTCCCTTATTTATATTTTTCGCTACTTTTTCGAGGGGGGGGGGGTTCCTAGACTCTTACCAATTTTTTTTTTTATTAATATAGAAATGCCTAATAACTTAATCCAAAGCATTTTCATAATGTTTTTAGTAAAATTTTTTAGTAACACGTTTTTAGTAGTAGTTCTCTTCACCTCCACCCCCCCTGCCCGCCACCATAATGCGAAAGAACCTAGAAAGCGTCCGCTAAATTAGAAACTCTGCATCCTGCAAAAAAAGACTGGTGAATTATTTACTTGCTAACTTCAGCGTGACTCGACGACGTTCACGTGTCGATGGGAAACTACGGTCCAACGGGAGGACATCGACGGGCTATCGCGCAAAGTGCTCAAAAGCTGGTCCGCAATCTCCAACAGCATCACCGTCAAAGTATACGGTAGATATCAAAGGGCTGTTTGCCTCGACCATCACGTCCGCTTCAGAGCCGACCGAGTTCTGCCAACGAGTCGCCACCAATTACAATCTATGCGAGCCTGACGCCCAGGGGGCAGCTAAATGCGCTGAATCCCCGGTGCATCGCGGGCACCATCCACTGGACGCAGACGCTTGGCGCCGCTTCTACCCGGATCTCGAAATCGGGCTGCTCGCCATCATCATAGAACAAAAGTTCTGTCGCTGTAAGTCGACCGTCTTCACCTAAACAGAAGCCTAACCCTAAGCCAAAGCCTAAGCCTCAGCCGAAGCCTGAGCCTTAAGCAGAGGCCTCAGCCTTAAGCCTAAGCCTGAGCTTAATCGGAAGCCCAAGCAGCCCGAAGCCTCAGCCTAAGCCTAGGCCTATCCCAAGCCAAAGCCTAAGCTCAAGCCTACGCATAAGTCTAAACCCAAGCCTAACCAAGCCTCTGCCTAAGCCTAAGCCTTGGATCCTTTGCCTCAGCCGAAGTCTATAACTACACATAGCTTAAACGGATGCGGTAGCGCTGCACAAACCTAGTCCGTGAGCTTAGGCACACGCATACGCCTAGCCCAGGCCGAAGCCTAACCCAAGTCTAAGCCTAACCCAAATCTACGCCATGATCCCTAGCCGACCATACCGTCAGTTCAATTCCCGTTTATTCCAGATTGCGTGACCGGCACCGTGCCCTGCCACAAGTTCATCGAGGAGCCGTGGCTGGAGGGTAGCAATTTTTGCCGTTCATTATTTTTATTTTCGTTCAGAAAAGCTGAACCTGAATGCAGAGACGGCCGGCGCAGGACTGTCGCCTTCGGATGGGGAAGCGGGCAACACCACAGCCCGACCAGCCGGCTGCCACCCGGCCTGGGAGTTCATGCAGCTGCTCACCACCGACGTCGACCAGCTGCAGGAGAGGGTTTGCCGTCGAAGTGAGTGGAATTATAGGGAGAGAGAAAGAGAGAGAAAGAGATAGAGAGAGAGAGAGAGAGAGAGAGAGAGAGAGGAGAGAGAGAGAGAGAGAGAAAGAGAAAGGGAAAGCAAGAGAGTCAACAAAGAGCGAATGTGTGAGAGAGAGCGTGCGAGAAAGAGAGAGAGAGGGAGAAAGAAGTAGATAGAGAGAGCGTGAGCAATAGAGAGCGATAGAGAGAGAATGAGATAGAGAGACTGAACGAGAGAGTGAGAGAGAGAAAACTTCGGCCCCCGATGCCTTTACCTACAGCAGGGTTTTCAGGATGTCCTTCCCTGGGTGAACTGACGTGCCACCGCGTCCAGGGCCTTCCGAAGGCGGCACCCAATTGCCGCCCCGCCGACCAATACGCCTACGCCACCGGCAAGGACCCGCTCATCACCGACACTGACGTCCTCTGCGTCCCGCTCGGTAGACAGTTGCCTCACGGAAACCTGGGCTTAACCGCAGTTTACCCTATCCGCCGACCCCCACCTACCGTACCTCGGCTCCCCGTTATTCTACGGGATTGACCAGTATATCAAAATACTCGCAAGACCAAGTCAAACATTTTGGTGGATTTCACATACCTGTACGATGACGGGAAGCCGAGATACAAGTTTGGGGGGTAGTAAACGGCTCTCTTACCGGAATCTCATATTCCAATTAAAAATCTTTGAAAACTTCATTGGATTTTAAAACCTTGAGTTTTCAGGATCTCGAGTTTTTACCACCCGTTGTTTCTACATCCGAAATTCTGCAAATCGCGTATTTCAGGATTTCCAATTCCATAATCTAGAATTTTCATAAACACGTTTTTTTTCTGTAGCTGCAATTTTTCCTTTCGATTGTTTTTCGTGTCTTGCAATTCCAAAATTTTGAAATTTCCATAGTTTCAAACCAATTAAAAGCCTGAGAAAGTGAAAAACGCTCCAAAATCGGCAATCGTTCCTTTTAGGCCATTTTATTCATAATTTTTACCAAAAAATCAACAAATTTCGACGTTTTATGATTTTCTTTGAGCTCTTTATAAGTTTTGCTGACTTGCTACTTGCTCGAGCCTCCCATAATTGTTCGGACCAAATTCCCGTTTCCAGGCGGCAACGCTTCTTCGGCAGTCTTCAGCTCAGGGTACCGTATTCTGGGTCTTCCGAAACGTTGCAATTTCCAGCCCCGTCCTGCCCATTCTCATCCTCCTCTACACGCTCAACCAGATGGCCTAGACGGGAGCGTACACGCTACGAGGGCAAAAAGCGGCAAAACAAGCGAAAAATGACATCTATTCAAAACAGACACTGCTTTCGTTGTCATTTGTTGTCGCTGAATAAATGGTGCCCCAGAAAGTGTGTTTTGTGAAGTTCGTTTATGCAACCAGTCGCAAAACAATCTAGGCCGGAGAGAGAGGGAGAGAGAGAGAGAGCGAGAGAGAGGGAGAGAGAGAGAGAGAGAAAGAGATAGCGAGCAAGAGCGAGAGAGCGAGAGAGAGAGAGGGAGTTAGGGACGGCAAGGGAAGAGAGAGACAGAGGGAGGCAGAGAGTGAGAGACCGATAATACATTTCCCAAGTCTTGCAAAGCATTTAAAAAACAAAAGTATTTTATTTAGCATTTACAAATTATATTGGTACAATTTTTGGTGCAACCGGTAGTCCCCTTCAGAAGCTGTTAGATAGCTATAGCAGTGGGGATGACGGGGACGGTATGACACCCAGCCGGTCTGGTTTACGGGTGCTCGTAAAGTGTCTTAACTGAAAATAAAATGTCAGCCGTCGAGGACCCGCCGGTTGCCTTGCCGGTCCCTTTAATGAGAGTTGTGGCAGATCAGGCTGTAGGGATGGGCTCAAGAAATCACGTCTCTTAGGGAACGGAATCGAAAAGTTTTCAAAGGAGTGTCCGGCTAGCCGCATACCGTCCCAAATTGCCCCGCCCGATTTTCATTGTGATTTGCCTTCTGGATAAATGGCGAAAACAGGCGTGACGGTTTTTAGGCGTCCTCTTCTCGGGCGAGCGCGTGGCTCTCTGGAATGACGGGTTAGCATTTTAAATCAGAAAAAAGTATTTGTGTTGCGATATCTGTTCTACAGCCTAATCAAAATAACAAACGGTAAGGCGTTCGTTTGGCTTTTTTTTTTCTTGACAGCCTATCGAGGGCGCAGCCGATCCGCGATTTTCCGGGTAGTATCAGACGGGGTCAGGGTTGAAAAGCCGCGGAATTTTAAAAACTATCAACCAATTTATGACCTTTTGGTCAAAAATGTATGATAAAAATAGCAACAAGACTCTTACAAATATTTTTGTGATGACGTGCTAGCACCCTAAAACCAAAATAAGCACCATAAAAACATAAGCTAACCTCATCAGTTGGGCATAGGTGGAAAACCTAAGAAGACTTTCTCCGCCGCTACAGCTTCCTCTCTCCCCCCCCCCCGCTAACAGTCCAGATATTTATTTGCAACGTCAGAAATTATCGTCCGGCTGCGAAAACCAGAGGCTTTTGAAGGAAGTTGTTTGTTAGCACTGTTGAAAAAATGCTACAGTAATGGCGGGACGGAGGTGTCCCATGCGACCGGAAATTGCCGTTTCTCAGTAATATACAACGCACCCAATAGGTACCAGTTGAATAAGTTCGCGGACAACAAGTAGTGACATTGTGTAGACGACCAGCAGAAATATTGGGACCGCATTATCGAAGAGCCATGTGCGGATTATGCCAGGCATCCATCGCAGCCAACCATCTCTGCAATATGGAATGTTCGGTGCTTTGAAACAGCGGCAGATGATTGCCAAAATGGCTCGTACAGGGTGTCCCAAAAAATCGACTCCCGTCTGGCGGTCCGGAGAAAGCTCGGATCGGCAGGTTTTTACACCATTCGAAAGCCCTCGAACAGGCGAGAAAACATCCGTTTTTCGTTTTACAAAATTTTTTCTCCTACGCTCGTTAGTCAACGGTTTCTTAAAAAAGAGTAAAAATCGGCGTCGGCCTGTTTGCTTTAGCAATCAATTAATATGCTGATTTCCCATAATCGGCAGTTTTCATGGATTTTGGCCCTAAATTTAGTGGGTTCAACGGCCGATATTGAAAAACGAAATGAGATTGTTTTCTCGCCTATTCGAGAGCTTTGGATAACTACCGAAGTTGTCACAATCGGAAATGACTGCGGCCCTCTAGAGGGAGGTCGATTTTCTGAAACACCTTGTGGATTTCTGTGCACATCCCAAAATGAAAAAAATAGCTTTTTACGACATGGAAACAACATTTTTTGTTAAAATTTCGCCATTCGTTTTCATTAAAAAAAATAGATTATGCCGGAAATCGGGTGTCCTAAATAACGGGGCGGAGAGCGGGTTTTTCTATCATTTTAGCCGAATCATGCAAGATGTTAGCTTTAGTTACAGCCAGGCCCGTACGAGGGGGGGGGCACCGAGGCACGGTGCCCCCCGAAATCGGTCGAGGTACGAAAAGTTCATAAGGGGGGACCCTTATGTTTTCTTTCGCAAAAATTTTTCTGCCTGCGGCGCTGTTTATCACTGTTTCGACACATTTTTTGCTTCTAGAAAACCTATTTTTCTAAAATTTTTTGCCTGCGGCGCTCGTTTTCATTAGTGCACCATATTTGCTGAACAAAATTTCGCTTGCGCGCGCCGTTTCCGATGTGTTTTCACACGAATTTAAGCGTTACGAACGCGGTTTTCTAAATTTTTTCGCCTGCGGCGCTGTTATTGTCGCTATTTTCGAAGGTTTTGAAAGTGGCGACCGGGGGAGGTCGCCAAAATTTTTTTGGGTGGGTGCCCCCCCCGAAATCTCGGCTCCCGTACGGGCCTGGTTACAGCAGAACACGGGTTAAAATTAAAACAACGTTCTGAAGGGCAGTACTTACTCTTCGAGATCTGCCAGGAGGTCCGCAAGAAAAGCCTCCAGCGATGTATTTTGGCAATCCTCGCACATAGATTGCCTAAATGAATGGTCTGAATTAACTCATTAACTCAATATTTTTGTAATTTAGAAAATATATGGTCATAAATTTGACAGTTTCTCAAGCATTGTGCATAGGGTTGTTATAACTGAAACAACAAACAACTTATTTTGAAACAACTCTAACAGGTTCGCTTTGTTTGAGCTCGAAAAGTTCAAACAAAACAACCTTGCTCGATTTGAGTTCCAGGCGGTTCCAGTTTCAGGTCAAGGAAGAATGGGCGGGAACTGAACGTGATCCAAATTTTTTGCCATCTGCCGTCACTCGTCAGTCAGTTGATTGACTGCCGTAGAGTGGCGCTTATTTAAATCAGATCCGGCTCAAACAATCCGTTTTCATTTGACAAATTTGGGTGCCAGGAATCGACTTTATGAAACCGGTTTGACTTGAATAATTTCAAGCTTATTCAGATTTGATTTGAGTAAGCGCCACTCTAATTGCGGGTGGTTCGGGGCAAACGAGCCCTGTGTTTTGCTGTGAAAGCCGTGTCGGAGGACATCAATGTTATGCGATGGAGGAGATACGGCGTAATCCTCATTTCGAAGTATTTGTCAATGGTGTTGTGGCCTATTTGAACGAGTAAGTGGTTTGCGGTTGCAAACTTGGGTTCTTTAGGATTTCGGGGGGACCAAATTTTTTCGGCACAAGCCTAAATTTTTTTCTAAATAGCGCATGCGTTTCTAAATGGTTTTTAACTATTCCTGAGCATAAAAACTACTCACATTTTAATTATAAAATTTAATTTTAGGTCGAAGAATCCTAGTAGAACCTTTAGGGTCAGCGGGGGAAGTCCCAAAATGACTAAATTTTCGACTTTTTCAAACATTTTTCTAACTTTTTTGAAAGGTTTTTCTAGTTTAAATATGGTTCAAATTTACTAAAAACAATGTGAAAACACTTTATATTTGCTTACTAGGTCGACCGGGTAAACCAGGAAAAAAATTTGGTTTCCCTCCCCCCCCCGAAATCCTAAAGAACCCAAACTTGTCTCTACTCTGCTGCTCGAACGGTACCTAAAAGGTATATGTCGGCTACGAGAAGGGGGGACAATTTTACGCGGCGGCTGTTGGGGCCGACCTAACTATTTTTTTTGCGTTTTTTTTGCTACAAACAAAACTCACAGTATACTAAAACAAAAACGTTTAGTATATTTTTAGATTATCTATCGAATGGCGTTGCAAAAATCCAAGAAAATAACGATAATATAAAAAAAGGCATATCTGCTCTGTCCCCCTCCCCGCGTAGCCGACATATACCTACCTAAAATATTTAAATATGGTGCAACTCTTTGGCGATATCGCGTTGTCAACGTTTCTCGCGCGTGCGTCGTGTTGATAAGCATTCCAATCACGCTATTTCGTATTCGATAGCGTATCACCTCAGTGCCTAGCTAATTTCAGACATTACTGGCTATGTTGGTTACCCGGCTGTGTGCGAGCTTGGCTTTTCGGATACGCCTACGAAATTGTTGCTGCATTGGTGTTCGTGGCCGCCCAACTCGTCATGTTCGCCGGGTTCCTGCTCGTCTGCTACTGGTATGGAATTGCATTCATTCCGAAAGTTTATTTCGTACTTTTAATTTCGTGCAATGCTATTTCGCCGAATTTTCATTGTGCCAAACGTTAATTTTACCGAAATTGGAATTGGCGTACTTTTCAAGGTTCCTTTTCCACCGAGGAACAAAATCGGCAATTGGCCCGGTAGCTTGATGATCACAGCAGCATAAAGTCATCCAGTTCATTTCTGCACTTCATACAGGGTGTTCCAAAAAACCCCACCTCGACTGCCCGATCGGGAGCAAATTTTTACCAGCGACGGGGACCCAGAAAAACTATGCGCAGGCAAATTTTCTAAGTAAAATCTTGTAAAACAAAAAGTTATATAGAAATTAAGCTTTAGTTTGCCGATTTCACCATGATTTTGATGGATTTGGACCTCGAAATGTTTAGCAAAAATGAAGTTGGCATGTGTTTCCACCGGATAAATTTTTTGATTTACGAAAATTACGTCTAAATTGGGACTTCTCAACATTTTTTATTAAGTCAAACTATGCCTTAAACTTCGCTTCAGGTGGGGCCTTGGGCGCTGGAATTGGGCCTTTGCATGAAAAATTTGACTTCCGATAGCTCGGGTCTTTCGAACCCTTTCCCCCCCACCGACCACACACGCGCGGGCAAATCGCAAGAATGAGGAAATTTGTATTTTTTTCATATTATAAATTACCCCAAAAATGAATAAAACCGTTTAAC